ATACACATTACAGGAGTCCAAGAATATGAAAGATTAGATAAAAAGTATTTGAAGATTCAATGGAACTTTTTTCAAATCACAAACAGCAGCAGAGGGGTAGAAGCAACAGCAGTAGTAGGAACAACTGCAACAAAAACATGTATCCAAGAATATCAGCGAACCCCAAAGCAAGGAAGGAAACTATGTTTAAAGCAATCAAACCAGGTAATGCTCAAAACATCACTGTAGCCAATTTCAAAAATATACTATAGAGCCACTGTAACAAAAACTCCATGATACTGACATAAAAACAGACATATGGGATAGAATAGAGGATGCAGGAATAAACCCACACAGCTGTGGCCACCTGATTTCTCAATAATGGTGCCAAAAACACAGGAAAAACAGCCTTTTTAACAAAGGGTGCTAAGAAAACTGTATTGTACATTCAGTGCAGCAGAATGAATCTAGATCCTTATCTCTAACATTGTACAAAAAAAAAAAAAAAAAAAAAACTCATCTGGATAAAGAACCATAGTTAGAAGACCTGAAACTTTCTAACTACTGTACTAGAGGAAAACACAGGGGATACATAGGCACAGGCAACAACTTCCTGAATAGGACTCCAATAGCTCAGGAAATAACAAGAATCAACAAATGGTATTGCATCAGATTCAAAACCTTCTGCACCGTACAGGAAACAAAAGAATTGTTAACAACAGACAGCCTATACAATGGTAACAAAATTTTTGCCAGAAATACTTCCAACAGAGGATTAATATCCAGAATATATGAAGTACACTAACAATTCAACATCAAAACACAAGACAATCAATAAACAGGCAAGTAACTAAAGAGTCATTTCTCAAAAGTACAAATGGCCAATAATTATATGAAGAAATGTTCAACATCTTTAGCCCTAAGGGAAATGCAAATCTAAACTACACTAAACCAAGCATGGTGGCACACACCTGTGATCCCAGCACTCAGGAGGCTGAGGAAGGAAGACTGCCTTGAGTTTAAGGCCAGCCTGGACTACATAGAGAATTCAGGTCAACCTGAATTCTGCATAGCAAAACTCTGTCCAGAAAAAACAAACAAACAAACCTATACTGAGAGTCCACCTATCCCAGTCAGAGTGGCTATCATCAAGAATATAAAAAATAATAAATGCTAGCAAGGATGTAGGGAAAAGGAGTCCTTATGCACTGTTAGTAGGAATGTAAGTTAGCACAGCCACTATGAAAATCAGTATAGAGATTCTCAAAACGGAGAACTACTGAATGACCTAGGTATACCATTCCGGGTGTGGGTGTGGGTGTGGGTGTGTGTGTGTGTGTGTGTGTGTGTGTGTGTGTGTTATAAAAGTAAAAATGAGCACAAAAGACAGAAGGGCCTAATGGAAACTTTATAGTAAGGTTCTAACATAATACATGATATAACATTTTATTTGTAGTAACTTAGATAACATTTATTTGAAGTTAAATATATATATATATAGTATTATGAACCCTGAATTACCAAAATAAAATCCTAAAAGATAAAGCTAATAAGCCAACAGAGGATGGATGGATAGATAGATATTACAAACAGAACAAAGGTGAAAGACTTTAATTATATAAAAATTGTGTTAAATGTAAATGTTCTAAATTTTAATTAAGACTAAAATCAGAATATATTGTAAAGGCAAAACAAACCATTAGCTTCTACAGAAAATATATCTTAAAAATAAAGCCACAAACTAAAAGTGAAGGTAAATCACACATGTATGCATGTATGTTTGTATGAAAATCATGAAACAAACCTGTAGTTGCTATATTTATACCAGGGTAAGGTTTATTATTAGTGATTAAGACATGTATTTTATAACAATCCTAAATGTGCATGTACCCAGTAAAAATACATGAATCAAAAACTGGAAAAAGTGAAAGGAGAAACCAACAAATCCACAATATAATTGGAGATTTCACAATTCCTCTTTCATTAAAAATTAACTTCAGGAAAAAAATAATAGAACTAGACACATTGACACACATCTGTAATCCCAGCCACTGGAAAGGCTAAGGCAAAATGATCACAAGTTCAAGGACAACCTACTCTGTCATAAAATAAAAAAATAAAAGGGCTAGGGATAAAGCCCTGGTACCCCCACACAAATACACACACACACACATACACACACAAACACACACATATGTACATACACCCATACACACCCATATATACACAAACACACACTCTTTTTGATACTATATTCAGTTGACCTATTTGATTTTTATAGAATACTACACCCAATAATCAGAAAAAAAAACACACATTCTTTTCAAAAGAATATCAAGATAGAACATAATCTAGGCCATTAAGTAAATTTAAAGTGTAAAAAGCTAAAATCATCCAAAATATATTCTTCGACCACAGTAGAATTAGAGTAGAAATAATTAACAAAAAAAATCACCAAATATTTGCAATCTGAAAAGCACATGTTAAAGTAATCCATGGATAGGTAAAGAAATACTGAAGTAAGTGATACAAAGCAAAACATTGAAATTAGCAGGACATAAATAAAACAATATTGAGTATGTATTAGAATGAAAAAATTAAAATCAGTGAAAGAAACCTTCACCAAATTAAGAGATATGAAAGCTAAGAACAAAAGCCAATAAAATAGAAAAAAAAGATACAAAATGCCAACATAAATAATGAAGATACCAGTAGAAATCCTACAGAAATTAAAATAAGAAAAAATTTTAAACAAACTGATGCTAACAAATGTGGAAACAAATAATATGAACAAATTATTTGATAAATATAAAACACACATGAAAAATAGAAAATCTGAATTCTGGGCTGGGGATTTAGCTCAGTGGTGCGCACACCTGCCTCACAAGTGCAAGGTCCCAAGGTCAATCCCCAGTACCAAAAAAAAAAAAAAAAAAAAAAGTAA